CATAGCTGAAGCTGGTAGAGCCTTCTGTCCTCACGTTGGAGCGTTGTGCAGCGGTTTCTGAGCATCCTGTAAGACTCAAAATCATCGAGCGTATGAGTCAGCTGGTATCTATTCCAAGATGATCGCTTTAAGCTGATCAGCTTCTTAGTCCTACTCCTAAGCCAAGTTCTTTTTCCATTTTTGGGTTTGACGGTGCGCCGAGGAACTAGATCGTAGATTGTCTGTTGTAGATTGTTCAGGATTCTACGCCTCAATTCGTCAACTGATGGTTCACCTGAATGTTCCATCCAGGGAAGTACTGCTAAAGCTCTGTTTAACTTTCCATAGTCTACCCTGTAGAAGTTCTGCCCTGCGAGTAACTGAGCTATCTTTTCAGTGGTACACTCTAGGAATTTGAACGTGATCGTGGCATGGACACTTTTTCCTAGCGGGTTCAGTATCCCTAAATCGTCCACTAGCAGCGGGTCGTTAGTAAGGACGTAATCAAACATGGACGAGGTTCCTTCGGAATTCCACCTGGTGGGTCTTTTCACGTGCTCCACTAATCCTAGTTCAGTACATAACTCTAGAAAGCGAGTCTTCATGGACTCCGTTGGACCGGCGGCGTTGTGGGTCGCGGAATCGATAGAAGGGAGATTGAAATCTCCTATAATCAGTATGTTCACATGCCCTAGTTTTACAGCTCTATTGATAGACAACAATATGCTGGCGTCTTCTGAGGCTGGTGAGTTTGGTGGTCTGTATACTACTTCCACTAAAGTTGCTGTGCAACCTTCGGGTTTAAAGGAAACCCACACTGATTCTGGGCAGCTTCAGTTGTGGATCAGCCACCTGCTCAGGGTGCAGATTTACTTCTACGTAAAGGATGACTCCTCCTCCCTTAGAGCTATTGCGGTCCTTCCTGTAGCTGTGCGTTCCCGGAAGAGATATTTCTGCGTCATGAATCCCTCCGTGCAACCATGTTTCACTAGTACCTATAATACCAGGATTGCTGACCGATGTCAAGGTTTGTAACTCTGGGATTTTATTCATGAGGCTCTGTGCGTTGGTGTATACGCATGGTGTTGACTCCGTTTGGAAGGTAAACGCTGGTTTCACTGTTCTGTTCTCTATTGAACTGGATGCGACCACTAGAAGACCGGATACTTGTCGTTTTTCGACTTATTCTTTTTGGAGTAATGGTTGAGGTCAGGGCTCCTTTCAGGGTCCCGAATAGATATGTTTAATGCCGGAATAGCAGTACTGACGGGAGGAGAGCGCCCTCATGGCCACTCTCTCCTCTTATGGCATTTTATCTCGGTGGAGAAGATGTGTTTGGCTTTGCGCCACCTCTGCAAGAAGTGGTGTTGCATGCCCTCGTCGAAAAGCACTACTTTGATGAGCCTAGGCGAAGTTAATCTGCTGAGGTGGGCGGGCCTAGGTAGCCTTATCACACGTTCCGCTAATACGTCGGACAGACCGGATATCTCCAGAATGTAATCCCATTGTTCGCTGTCGTGCAGGCATTGACTGATTTCCCCCTGAGCTTCTCGTATACCTCGTATGATGACCGAGCGGGAGTCACAGTCGTCGTTCTGCCTTTTAGTGTCTTACCTGTGCTGGCGTTCGCTCCACTGGAGGTCACGTCTTATTCTTATGTGACTCCAATCTAAAGTATGTAGCATGGGTGAGCGAAGGAGAATCTCCGATGCACCCTTCGGATTAGCAGTCTCCAGTCTTATTGGTCTGGAGGCCTGAGTTTTAGTAGTTGCGTCACTACTGTTTAGTCTGTGATGTTTGATTGCATCAAGTTGTATGCCCATGTGGCGCAGTACATCAGTAATGTAGGTTTCATCCTGTTTGTCCCTAGCTCTAAGAGACTGATCAGTGCTCTCTGGTACTCCGAAGATAATGACACATCTGTGTCGCATGTTGTTATTTTTCAAGGCAGGCGTGCAGGTGCCTCTGGACACTTGCCTTAACTCAGGTAGCTCCTGCTGTTCAGCTGATTGCGCTGAGTTGATCACTTCGATGAGATTGTTGAACTTCGGCTTAGCGGGATCTTTATCCTTCCCTAAGCTCGTCACCCGTTTCTGTTTCAGAGAGGCGGTCGGCTCTCCTTTTGGTGTTGCCACAGTGATTGGTGCACTTGTTACGGGCTTCTTCGGGATCACTGTCCTGTTGGGTGACCCTGACGTTTCGTGGAGCGACCTAATTCCTGAGCTGTCTAGTTGTTCCCCACCCAGGCGGATAGACTCGGTAATCGGAGTAGCTAGAGGCTGAGTGGACGTTTTCTTTTTGGCCTGCCCACAGAGTGAATATACATACTGCATTGCTTCTATAGGATGAGGAACAAAAGGTTGGATATATCAATAGTCACTATCTTGTCACAGTGTCTGTGAAATCATTGGTTACACATGTAGCAGTCCAGAGCTTTGCTTTGCTCAAGACTGCTTTTTTACATCTTATACCGTTCGAGATCGTGCTAAGCACGCTAGGTGTGATATTCAGTTTTGTCATATCTATTTTCGGTGGCATTTAAGTTATCTATATAAAAACAGGTAATTCTATCGGAAATTAATAATAATGATAGACGCAACCAGTGTTAGACAGCACTGATATACAGTTAAAAAGAATGAGAACGATACCGCGTGGATTGTGTTGTCGGAATGACTCCCCGTTTATTCCTTCGTTTGGTCTCGTTGACTGCTCCGTCAGTTTTATCCAGTGATACTCCGTGTAACGTCTGAAACTTTTCAGATTATTCCCTCCTAATTTAATTGATCTTCCTTGCTCCGAATTTCAAACCGCGCGCCAGTCAGTCAGTCAGTTTGCACAGGACAAAAGATGGCCACGGCCAATCGAGCGTCCAGAGTTCCCTCGGTAGTAAGCCGCATGTTTACCTCTACTACTGCGGGTGTTCTTTACTGTAGTAATGCGCGTTTCCTTCTCGTACCAATCGTCTTTGCCTCTGCAAGGGAAGGGAGGAAAAAATATCTTCTCCCCTTGTTCAGACGAGAGACCTCACATTTGGAAACCTTCCCTTTTTGGAGTGGTTAGTAAATGAGAAAACTAACTTCAACCAAACCTTAAACTATGCATCTACTTCAAGAAATAAGTTCAACCAGAGTTTATTGAGCTCCTTCATCTTTATCTTTATCTTCGTGTTGAGAAGGCAGAGGAGCCGCGCCCCGTATGAGCCTCTTTACCGCCGGTACCGATATCAACCCGCTCAATGGTGTGCAAGCTGCCATCGTCTCACCAAGTGCTCGTCGAGATGGCGTTTGAAACGCGCCTCGTTCTGCTCCTCCACCACTTCCGATGGGAGTGAATTCCAGAGGGAAGTCGACCTCCTGGAAAGGCGATAGACTAGAGGAATCTCCTTTGACTCAAGCTTCCGGAGGGTGAGCCTGTGGCCGCGCGTCCGGTTGCAATCTTGCAGTGGAAACATAGCACGTGACTCCGGTCCCAGATCGCCATGTAGAATCTTCCACAGGTAGATCAAGTCCCCGCTGAGTCTCCTGTAGCTAACGGGGTAAACTTCGAGTGCCTGGAGCCGACCTTCATAGCTGATCCCGTGAAGTCCCGCGACTAGGCGGGTGGCGTAGCGCTCTACCCCTTCCAAGTTGGCCATTTCGGAAACCGTGCAGGGGTATACAGCGGGTACATCGTATTCAAGCCGGGGGCGGACATGGGAGGCAAACAGCTTCTTGAAGGCTGTGAACGAAAAGCCGTCAAACGACTGACGGATGGCACCTAGCATACTCCTTACCGTAGAACATGCTCGGGTGGTGTTCATCTGTGTCTTCATGGATGCAGAGATAATAACTCCCAGATCCCTCTCGGTAGTCGTCGAACGCAGTGGGACGTTGTTCATCAGATAAGTAATATCCGGTGTATTCCGTCCCACGCGCATATGAGCGCATTTCGACGAGTTTACCGGAAGTTCAAAGGCGTCAGCCTAGTGGTGCAACATTTTCAAATCCTCTTGGAAGGCATGGTGGTCCTCTGGTGTTCTCATGGCTCTCTACAGTTTCGCGTCATCCGCGTAGAGGAGGCAATATGAGCTCAACTGGGAGGGCAGGTCATTCACGAACAGGAGGAACAGTACAGGTCATAGAACAGAACCCTGTGGCATTCCACTGGTGACAGGATAGCGACACGACTCCGTCTGGGCAACTCTGACAGTAAATCTCCTTCGGATGAGGAAATACTCAATCAATGCTGGTAGAGGGTCATTGACACCGTGAGCCATCAGCTTTTCCAAGAACCGTCCATGTGGTACCTTATCGAATGCCTTGCTGAATTCAATGAAGATGACGTCCGTTTCGTGGCCGGCGGCCCTGGCAGACGTCCATTGCTCCCGAGAAAGTAGCAGATTCGAGACGCAAGATCCCTGCGGACGGAACCCATGCTGCTCTGGACACAGAAGATCATTCGATAGGAGGTGTTCCCGGAGTCGCTTGGCGAGTACACGTTCCATCACCTGGACGGCCACACAGATGAGTCTGACCGGGCGGTATTTGACGGGGTCCCCACGGGCTCCTCCTTTAAACAGAGGGCGTACAATTGCGGTTTTCTACTCGGCGGGCAACCTCGCCTCGGTCAATGATTGTTCAAACAAGATGGCCAAGGTAGGTGCAATGGCCAACGCCGGCTCCTTAAGTACGATGGAATGCAGTCCGTCCGGACCCGGTGACTGGTACAGTTTCAGAGCCGAAAGTGTACCACACACCTCGTCTACCGAGTTGGCTTACCAAGACAGCAAAGGCGCGGAGCACGACAGTCGAGGGGTCGGTGATGTATCGGTGGCGTAGACAGATGCATAGTGTTGCGCAAAAGCTTCCGCCTTGTCAACATCGGTTTCTGCCAGGGCACCCTTGATCTCCAACGAAGGTACGTCAGCCGTTGCACGCGTGCGGCGACGG